CATTACCAAAGTGTTATTGTCACACGTTAATAAAACTACATGAGCTCATTACCAAAGTGTTATTGTCACACGTTAATAAAGCTACATGAGCTCATTACCAAAGTGTTATTGTCACATGTTAATAAAACTACATGAGCTCATTACCAAAGTGTTATTGTCACATGTTAATAAAACTACATGAGCTCATTACCAAAGTGTTATTGTCACACGTTAATAAAACTACATGAGCTCATTACCAAAGTGTTATTGTCACACGTAGTTTGTGATCGTTTCAAACTCCTAAAAATCAAATAGGCTAAAGAAGACGTATAGCTTTTAAAGTTTAAGACTTTACCTGAGATAATTGCAAAAAATATTCATTTACTTTTTTTTTTAGCTCAGAATACAGAATAAAGTGTTTACCACTTCTTTTGTGCACAACTTAATTATACTGTGAAATGGTTAGTTTTAGAATAAAGTGGAATGATCGTGGTAATCGAAAATCAAGGTTTTACCTCCTTAAACTATAACTAAAATCTGCCAGATATAATATTGAATATAATTTTAGTAATAGAAAAATCATTTATATTTAATTATTTTAAAATGTATTATTATTTTTTGATTGAGAAATTCCACTTAAACCTTCAACTGAATGACTTTAGACAATTGACTTTTTGACACAATTTTTATGGGTTTTTTTTGTTCAATTAGGGCTATTGTTGATAGTGACAATATTAAACCTATTAACACAAGCCTGCAGAAAATTTCCGTGAAACGTACAGCTTCCTTGAACAAAGCTTTAGAAGAACTTAAACGTCATCAAGAATTGATAGAGAAACATAAAAAGGGTACACAAATTTGCTCTCGTCCAACATCTTCAAGTTCCCCTCGGTCCGGATCAGTACCTCCATCACGCACCAGATCAAGGAAAATATCCAACAACTCCAGCAGTAGTTATGAAAACACTGAAACTCCGGGAGAAAGTATGGAAGAAGAGCAGGATTCTGAAGATGAATCTCCATCTTCATCATCACAGAAAACAGCACGAATACAGGTATTGTAATCTTTACTACCCAATGAAGTCGATAGGATTTAAGGATGCTCACAGCAAATGGCAAGATCTTGACTATTGTACTTTCAGTGAATGTTGTTAATTGTGTGAGGAGTTTACAAGAACACAGATAATGATTGTTTTATGTTCATTATATTGATAACTAGCAAAAATACAAATACTAATTGATTATATTATTGCATATAACCTCATGTTGATGTTATGGAAGCAGCTTGTCTTGTAGTTGACTTAAGAATGGTTCCAAATGCAATAAAGTTAACCCCTCTTCCAGAATTCCGGCATGAATATGGCCAAATTTCTACAAACAACTTGAATTATATGTGCATAATTGCGACCGTTGTTAATTAACGAGGCACCAATCCTCACGAAATAAGTGACTGCAGCTAGAATGACCAAAAAATCTCACACTTCTCTTCTCCTCCTCCTCTAATAATACTGGTTTTCACTATTCCATATATCATGTCTTATAGCACACTCATTAGATATGTAAAGTTATATATAAAAGACACTGTCTGTTGGTAACACTCAGTAATGCTCAAATTGCCTCAGCGATTAGTGCCAAACCTCAAGTGGAAGTCTTATGCTCAAATACCAGAACAGTTGGGATTTTTATATATTTTTTTTAAATAAGTGAATATGCTTAGAGCAAGCTCTTTCAATATTAAAAAACAAAACACAAATGCCATCGTATTTTAAATTAATATTTGTTAACATTAAATTTCAAATACTGGATGTCAAAGTGACTCAGTGGTTACAGCTCTCAACTGTCATGTGGAAGTCTTGCAGTTGATTTGGGATTTTATGTTACTTTTTTTTATATATATATAACATTATAGATTAAATCAGGGATTTGAGATATTAGTTAACATTTGAATTCAAAGATGGCGTGTTTACAGCAACAAACCACCTCATATTTTCTTTTCATTTGAACACTTTGAACACAGTCCAGAAAAAGTGTAACAAAGAAAATATTGTTTAGCAAGAGAAAGGAAGAGTAGATGGTATGAAAAAATCAAGAAACTTAGCAAAAATTGGGATAACTGAGGCAGAGGGAAAATATTGGGCATGGTCAAATTAAGCTTCAGAAGAACTGAAGCAAAGAATACACATTCATACTGAGACACATACAGACAGGTTCTGTCCCTCCCCATGTCCTCCCTGCACAGGTACATCAGCTAGTTTGCTGATAGAAAAAGAAGCATTATTAACATATGTGGACAGTCATAGTAGTAGGTAATATTTCCTGTATTCTTATACCATGATGATATGAATTAAATTAAAATTTTTCTGAAGACAGGAAAATTAAGATCAGCTACAGTTCAAACTAGCAACTCTGCTATTAAACTATTTCAAATGGCCATTGGTTTGAATCCTGCATGATATTTGTGTATTTACTTCTTTAGAAATCTTAGCACCACAGGATGAAAAGTGACTTAAAACCCCAGAAATGTAGTAAAAGAGCATATTTTCTTGAGAAATCACCAAATGCTACAGCTCTTTCTCCATCTCTGTTTGCGGAGCAACGAGTGTGTAGCAAATCCTGGGCCGCTGGTGAATTTATTCCACAGAAGAGTGGCAGAAATATCGTTAAGCTACCAGTTATGAGTTATATTCCAAATTATATTAAATACGAACATTGAGTTGCAGAACTATGTAAAGAATCTGGAAGAACAATCCACAATGACCTGTGAAGGAGATGAGAGAACAAAACCCAAATTTTTTAGATCAGCAACACACAAAGACATATTGACATTAGTTTCACTAGTTTTTTCAGGCACAGAAGCAACCCATAATATCGTATTTACAAGAAATAATACACACAAATTTTCAACAACATTTTTTACAATCCGAATTGTTATTAGAACATACAATTTAATTGAGAAGCTTGGATGACCTCAGAAGTTTTAGCCTCTGTTCAGGAAGTTGTTTACTCTGGAAGAGAGGATAAATTCAGAGTTATAAGTTAAAGTAGAATAGAATAACTTTTGTGCAACAATATGTATTTATACATGTTAAAAAGACAGACTCAGCTGTGTCAATTTTTATGGGCAAAAAAATACCTAAAAGTCATTGATACTAACTGTTAATAAATAACTGAAAAAAATCACAAGTTCTGTATTGTTGCCTTCATGTAAGTATACAAAACGTTCTGTATTTTGACTAAAAATACCTACTTTTCTGTCATTTCAATTGTTTTCCTTTAAATTATTGGTTATATTTTTGTGAATATTGACTTATTGGGCTTTTAACAGAGCAATGCAGTCCATTTCAACAAATGCAATATGTTGATTTAACAGATAGTTTTATACTTATCACATGATTTAGACTCTAATAAAAAGTCTTAGAATAATTATTTAAAGAGAACTTGAATAATGTATATGGCATGGCATTTATAAAAGAATCTGTCGGACACATTTGGATGTCGGTAATAGTTTTGAGAACTAGTTTTAAAATTGCCTATCTGCCTCACATATTGCCTATCTGCCCCAAAAAAGTTTTTCAAGATTGTCATTGTTATTTATTAGACATAATATTAAATCACAACATACTTTTATACTCCTGTGCTCATGCTGAATTGCCATTGGGTTTTTTGTTAGGGTCCTCCAAGACACACAAGAATGTGCATTATTCCTAGTGGTTAAGTTTTCTGAAGTTTGCATCGTACTATTGAGTCTTGTGGTACACAATTGCATTTTAGTGGGGAGATTATTTGGTCCATTGTCAGATCTTTATTTGTAATATTATGAACAAACTGTATAGTTAATATTATATATTTTATCATCGTTGTTCATTATACTTTGTTCCAGTTATTCAAATTAATAGCAAGATAGTGAAAGATCAAAAAACTAATTGAACTTGAAAATGTTTCATTTTTCCTAGATGGCTGCTTCTCCAGATGATCATAATGTTGTGTCATCATCAAGTCAAGAATCCCCTTTAGCTAAAGTTTCAGTTTGTACACAGACTCCAAAAAAGGTAATCAGTAAAAGTGTCGTTGTTAGGTGACTTGTTTTATTCTGTACTTTTAGTTAAAGTTTCATCTTTTTTTTACCTTCTTGTACTACACTTAGCTTGCTTATTGTAAAAAAATGGGTAATCTTCTACAAACTCAAATTGACTCTAAACAGAGTCAGATGTTTTTATGTACTATGCGATAAATCAGGCAAGGTGTGCTCATGAATTTATGGTAGATTTTAACTTCAGAATTTTTAAAATGCTACAGGAAAATGACACCCTCTCTAATCTAGTGTTGTATCCCCAGGATCAGTGTATCATATTATGTCATTAACATCTTGTTCAAAATCTTTGCCAGAATCCTGGGTCGCAATTTTGTAGCAAATCTTTGAAATTGTTAAACTGTTTATGATTTGTGTTATGGACTTCGTGGTCATACTTTGCTGGTAAAAATTTATCTTTCTCTTCAAGTTTAAAATAGGTCATATGTACTGATTTTCATTTCTACAGAGGGGATTTTCCAGCTTTATGATTGCGATTCTATCTTACACATTGTCTAAGTAAATATACAATCTTGCCAATTGTATCATGCCACTTGGAAACTACTCTGTTCTAATTCTGCAGGTAATCCTGGCTATGGGTTTTCCAGATCTACTTTTTCAATATTATCAAGTAATAGATCTGCTTGATTTGCCTGTCTCATCGCCAGTACAGTTCCTCATAGTTTGTATCTAGCTTTTGCACACTTTTCTGGGCAAGTTAAGCTAAGGCAAAGTTAATTCATAAGAATTTGTGTGTGCTCAGTGACCTACTTAGCTGTACTGCAGTTACCCCAATTTGAATAAAGGTACAATTATGTTGGAGTAACATAGCAAAATTGGACATGTTTCTCGAAATCAAATAAAAACAAACCAAAACTGGCATGCAGTGGTTCAAAATACTTTATTTGTTTGGCTTATACATTTTTTTCTGAGGGGGGTAGGTACATTTTCAAATCATGCTTATTCACTTTATAATGGTTGACATATTAAGATATAAAGTAATAAAAATTAAAATAAAAAAATTTAGTATATTAGAACTTGTGACAGGGTGACATCAGCTCTTCATTTACAAAAAATGGCCAGAGACTATTAATAATTTATATTTATCTCAGTTGTAGTTTCTAATACTGTAGAACAGAGGCCTGCGACTTCAGTTTGTACGGCCCGCCAACAGTTCATTAAAGTAATAAAATGATATTTTAATATTATGAAAACAAAAAATAAAATGTAATTCAGCAAAAGCCAATCTAGTTGTGATACGGCCCACCAACAGTTCATTAAAGTAATTAAATGAATTTTTAATGATATAAAAATAAAATGTAATTGAGCAAAAGTCAATCTAGTTGTGATACGGCCCACCAGCAGTTCATTAAAGTAATTAAATGAATTTTTAATGATATAAAAATAAAATGTAATT